TAATAGACTTTTTTGCCGTATGAGTATACGTTGCCCAGGGTGTAAAATATGTAAATAAAACACGAAGAATCCCCACGCCTATTTTACCATAGCATGGTTTATAAAATTACGTTATTCCATGTCCCCCCTATGTATACATATGTGGTTTTACATGAAACTGTGGTAATTAAAAGATCATGATAAAATTATAAGATTGTCTTCAAGCTCACTTAGAAAAGTGTTCATCTCGAAAAAAGAGAAACACCATCGAGCATCCAGGGTGGAAAAAACACGAATTCAACCTTTATTTTAATAAGTTAGACTTAAGCAGTGTGCATCGATGGGGATGGAATCAGCGACATATGATTTTGAATGTCTTCACCAGTGGAAATAGTAAGTATGATCACAAAAAATTGTACGACTGCACATAGAGCAGAGAATCTTTTATCGAAGGACAAGACAAGCAACTTGATTCTACTTCTAATATTGCAGTACCATACAATAGTAACATCGAATCAGTTAGAAAATCTGCGATCCTAACTTACACATCCGCCGATAACCATACAGGCGCATTGATCAATGATTTTTTCGATTAATTCCAAGGAGACACTAGGTATTTCAAGACACTGTTGAATGAGCTGAAGAACCTGTTCTTGAGTATTGGGAACATTGGCCAATTCAATACCAACGCGACCGAGAGTAAGAATTACATTCTGATAGATTAGGTCTGTGTCTCTGGAAAGGAAAAATGGCAATGTAATTATGACAATTGACATCGGATTTCTATGAAGGCGTAATGTTAGTTTAAATTAGAGGAAATCAGTCATTAATAGCAAAATCTGAAAAATTAGATCAAGATCACTGATGAAAAAATCAATAAGTCCCCCCCCCCCAATCCCAGCCTTATGGGATTGTTTCACTCACTCTCTTCTGTTTAAACGCTTTTTCGTGATTGAAAACTGCTAAATTAATCGCTTGTCATGGTAAATTTTAATACTTTTTACTCCAAGTGAGCTTATTACAAGATTTACGTCTTGCATACTTTTTTGCTCAACGTTGTTGTACAGAAAATTAAGCACATATTCCCGCACACAGTGGACCAATAGGGAAGGCGAACTGGGATCTTAACGTGACCATATAGTCATCTGCCACTGTCACCCTTGATGGAGGCTTGTGACCATGAGTCACTTCTCACCAATCGCTGTCTGTACAACTAGGTCCTTACTCTCTCCTCTTTCAAACATTTAATAGCCTCTGAGGTTGCTTTACCTACATGAAGCATCTTAGTAAAGAGTGACTTAAATCATGACTCCAAAAGGAGACATTTGCTTGGCAAATCTTATTTCCATTTCCCTATTCTTTTAGCAAGAATAGTTGCAGCATGAAGACGATGAACTTCTATTATCGGCAAGGACCTGATGTTTTGAGTCTATTGTACTTAGTTGGGTAATAGAAGAGTGGAAAATGGGTCTGAAAATTCGTAATCCACTATAAATTTATTAGGGCATAACGAGGAAACGGCTTAAACTGGGTCTATTTAAACAAATGCCAGTTAATGCATTTACTCTAAGTCCTCGTGAAGGATAAAATAACACGAGGGATTTGAAATTAATCATCAACTTGACAATGTGGCACCTGAAGCATCAGAAAACACGAGTTATATTAGTCACCAACATTAAAACATGATCAGGACCTCTATTCTCAAATGAAAAAGTGCAAGCTATCTTTTACAAATCTTATTTTAAATTAAATTTTAAAAGGAAGACGAAGCAACGCCAACAAACAATGCCCTATTCTTTTCTGCAGGATGAATACAATTCCCGCCCCGCCCCCCCCCCGTGGTCAACCCCGATCAATACGCAAGCACACCCCACTCCGATAACTAAATGACTAGTCTAAGTGCAACTTCCTACGATTCAGGGAGTGGGTTGAATGAAACTCTCAGTTGTCACGACGGGTTTGAAAAACACCTCCCTTAAGTATAAACAAAGCCACGTCACTGAAATCAGGTTTATAGAACCCATTCATTTTTCTTTCCACTTAAAAAGACCCAATTATTGTGGATTGTTTGCAATGCCTGTAATATATATTTGGATATTTTTTTGTTATTTATGAGTTACCTATCACTTTCAGTGGTAGCATTGTATAGCTTCCTCGAGAGTTCTGCAAGTAGACTTTCCACATAGCTCCTGTTTGTAAGAAGAACTCTAGGAAAAGCACAAAGAATCATATAAAGAAGATATCCCAGGTAATCCTACACTAGTAAGCAAAAGTAAGTAGTTTAAATACCGACAAAGGCTTTGAATAGCAGTTGCACGTATTCGGTCAAGAAGGCGTTGGGCGCGTGGCGATCGACTACCGTGTGCCCATTGATCTAAGGTCATAGTTCGAGCCTATATGAAAACATAAACACAGATAAGAATCAATCGCGATGTACGAGCGTAGCCAAGGCGACGTACATGTAATGATGTGTGAATGTGCTGTACCCTGTTCCAATAAAATAATTAATAACACACCACTTATGTCTACCAATGCATACTCTCCGTGGACTCCACCTTTGTAAGAAGTTAGGGGTAATGATCTGCGTGCAAGTCCACCAAATTAGAGGTCACTGGTTCGATTTACATTTATAGGCAATAGGTGGAAAACTGCCACAAGGTAGGCTACTACTACTCTGGTCAAGGTGAGTGTCGGAAAACACCTTCTACAAATGAACTTTAAACTTATCGCACTTCAAAATCTCACACTCAAAATATGAAAAAAAAACAAATTCTCATGAGGGAAAGGCGAGCAAAAATTACACGGATTACTATGGGGACTTGCGGATAAACAGTGGATATTGGGGCACTTTAAGTAAGGCATTAATTCATCGATCAAATTAATACATATGTCATAGACATGGATGATTAAACATTCAATTATTAGAATGTCCCCATCAATCCCGACAATATTCACCCTCAATGCTTATATTTATTTTTGAGGGAATAATTAGAATCACACTAATTACAGAAAGAAGGTAATAGATAAACTAGTCTTTGTAAGATAACACGGAAATAACAACACATAGTTTTCAATTTGTGGGGTGCGTGATAGACTTACCTCCACGTGGTGCACCCTGGGCAACGTATATTCACACGGCAAAAAAGTCTATTAACTGGCGAATGACTTCTGGCGCAGTACTCATCCTACCTTTTCTCTACTTTCATGTCTGTCTCTTTACATCTCGAAATCACTCTTATGTTCTCCACCCCTCGACTTTCTGTTACTTTGATGTTCCTTCCCATCTGTAAAGCCCAAAGTCAGCTAAAGGGCTAATGATAACTATCAAAACGCCTGCCATTTGAAATAAATAAATAAATGTTTTCAATTTGAACTGAATCATTGACTATTTTCCTCCTCTTTCCTGGTCTAATCAACAAGTGTGTAGCGATGGGTAACGATCCCGTAACCTCTGGATTGACAGGCGTGGACGTTAAAAACTGCCCTCGCAGGTGCGATCATGTACCCTACAGGCTTATTGCACACACACAACAAGGTTAGAAAGGGAAGGATGAAAATATGGGGGAAAGGATGATGCTAATTCAGTCGAACTGCTAAACCCATTTAATAAACATCTTCATAGGGTCAGGATTACTAAAGCAACTAACCCGGGTGCTGGCAGAAGTGTTTGACCGTCGGCCACTGGAGTTTCTGCATATACTGCGATTGAGTTTGCTAAGTGTAGGACTAGGAAATAGGAGGAATTCACTGAGACAGTCGAGAGTGGTTTTGGAGAGGTAGGGGATGTGTTGAGGCAACTCGCCCACACAAGCCAGCACAACCACCAAGAGACCGGCGTGAGCATTGGATTGCTGTTGTCTAGCAACGCGATAGAGATTGTTCACCTCGGAATTACGAGGAGGGCCGTCTCTTGGGTAGCCACTGTTGGGAAGGGTGTCGTAGAGACCTGACGCTCCAGAGGACGAAGTGAGAATGTGAGAGGGGGGATCTATTCCAGATTTCATTCTTTCAGTAAGACGATTAAGAAGACTCTCCGCATCTGAGGATAAAAAAAAATCGAAATTTTGAAGAAAAACGTTGTTTCAGTCAACTACTATTCAGAACCTAAAATCGACCCTAGTTAAGAAGAGCTCCAGAGCCCAGGAATTACTTTCTAGCAGTAATTTGACTTCTTTCTCCAGTGTAACGTCAACTAAAGAAGATTTTTGTCAACTAGAAAGAGAGGGAACAAAATCGAAATGAAAATAATATTTCAAGATATTACAGGCAAAAAAACAATACAAACTCTAATATCTAACTCTTAAACCCGAGTTAAAGACCCACACACACACACACACACACACACACACACACACACACACACACACAC